CTACTTATTTATTTAAATATTCTTTACAGATTCAATCATGGAGATAAGCAACAGGGTAAATACAGTCTAGGAATCATGGCCATGCCAATGGTGTGGCCACAGGCAAATGGCTCTAATACTTTAGGACATTTCTACACACTGAAGGATTGAGCTCCATGACCTCCTTAGGTCCTTCTGTTATAAAACTCCATGTCTTCCCTTCTGTGTTGTACTTTTCAATGGAATATAAACACTAAGTTAAAAAAAAAAAAAGGAAAAATCAGTAGCTAAAATGAAATTCAAAACTTGACCAAAGACATGTTATAATGATATTACTGATGATTTATGTAAGCATACCAAAAACCAAACCAAACTCACTGCCATCGAGTCAATTTGACTCACGGTGACCCTTCCTTGGGTTTCTGAGGTGGTATCTTTACAGAAGTGGATTGCCCAAACTTCCTTCCAAGGAGTGGCTGGTGGGTTTGAACCTCCAGCCTTCTGGTTAGCAGTCAAATGCTTTAGGCACTGCACCACCCAAAAATTAGATGTTAAGTATCCACTCACTTGGAGTTCTAGGGCTTATTCTTAACTCAGATATATCTGAGTTCTAGGTACATGTTTATAAAGTTGATTTCACTTAAAGAACTATAGCCTCCTTGCATACTTCCTCTCTACGTATTTTAAATTGTGGGTTTAAAATGTTATTTTCCTCCTCTGTATATTTCTTAAATTTCTATATTCAGTGCTCAGATAGTGTTCAAAATCTTCTACTAGTCTCACCAAGGTGTCAGAGGAAAATCCAACTTTCTATTACAGTGTGTTTTTAAAAAGTCACTCAGAAGCACATAGCAGTAATTTATGTGGAGATTTTCTTCCCAGTGAAGTATCTGTTTAAGAGAGGTGCAACTATGTAGTCAGTTACATAGCTTTATCTCTTGTGCCTGAGAAACATATAAGGTAAACACTTACATTCTATAAAATTTACTAATCTTAAATATTTTTTCCCTCTAGAACACTGCTATGTGTAATAATAACTCTATGATAAAGTTTTCTTAAGGAAATGGCTCTATTATTATCTATCAATTATGGGAAAGTATCTGAAAAAAACCTGACAGCTTGCTGCGGTTCTGTCCCATGAACACTGAAAGAGATCTGCACAGTGCTGGGCCCAGCAATCATTGCTGCGCACTTCCCCTGCCTCCAATCCTGCAATATCCATCTCTGAGGCTAATTAAACTGCCTTCATTCTAGAATAGGGCAAAAAAAAAAAAAGTAAAAAAGGAGCTGTGAATAGTTTATAGAATGACAAGTATCAAATAGCAATTCTTAACAGACAACATCTACCAACCCAGTTGCAAAATCTGTATCTTAGCTTATAATAATACATACATGGGAGAGTAATACACAGGACCCACTCCGATAGCTGAAACGCTTCTAACAGTCAAATACAGTGTTTTTCACCAGCTTATACACCCACATCCACTCATACACACAACCACAACATGGGGGAGACACCATCACAGCCTTAAGCTGATGAAGAATTCATTTTTTCCTCTAAACACTTATTATTATTATTATTTTTTTTTTAATTAGGATTTGGGTGAAGATTTACAGAGTAAATTCACTTTTCATACAGCAGTTCACATATACTTTGTCTCATGTCATTGACCAAAATTTACAATGCAGCAGCTCCCCTCCCACTTCCTCCCCATAGTTACCTCCTCCCAGTGTCCATCCCTTCATACTCTTCTGCACCCTGAGCTATCTCCCTGTGCATAAGCAGCCCTTCCTTCTCCCATGATTGTTCTCTCTAGGGCGTGTGTCTACTTGAGGTAAATGTTTAACTCACATGCCTGTACTTTGTTTGGCTGGAAACCACAGTTGTGGGTTCAACTCCAGACCTGAAGGGCAGCTAGGGGCCATAGTCTCAGTGGTTACACCAGGCTCTATTGGACCAGCAAACCTGGTCCCCACCTTCTTTTTTTTTTTGCCTCCAAATGATTTTGAGTTTTGTACCACATTGTTCTCCCTCTTTATGCAGGATCTCCTACATCCCTTCCAAGTGGATGACAGTGGTAGCTGGGCACCATCTAGTTCTTCTGGTCTCATAGTTGTATAGGCTGCAGATCGGATGGTGTACCAGTCGCTAGGACTGATTGTTTCCATTAATTTTGGTTTTCTTCTTTCTTCTTGACGAGGAGAGACCCGTTGTTGCATCTAGATGGCAGCTTCCTAGCTTTTAAGGTCCCAGTCGCTACTCGCCAAAGTAGTAGGTGGAACAATGTTTTGTATAGTATGTTATGCCAATTGAGCTTGATGTACCCTGCGACTATGGTCCCAAGCCCGCAGGATCAACTACTCGGTCCCTCTGGATAGCTGGCTGTGACCAAGTAATGACCATAACCTTGTCCCTTGTCAGCTCTACTATACACCTGGGAATTCTGATCATTCACATGAACTTATAGGCCCATTGTCTGCCAACCCTATATATGATCTTGGATACACTCTCCATTTAGACATACCTAATTGTTTAGCTTGTTCACCCATCTATCCGTCCCTATACCCATGTTTGCTTTCACTGACAACTCAGTACTGTATATGCAAAGGGGTTCATATTTGTTGTCTTTACTGCCCATGTAACTCTGTATGTCTTTCTCATCCTCAGTGCTGCCATATTGGTCACTCACATTTGGTACATTGCCCTTCTCTTCACCCAAATCAATATTTATCTCTATCTATCTAACAGCATTCCCTCCCCTCCCCTCCCACCCCTGGTAACCAACAAAGAAAATGTCCTCCAATATATAAACCTTTCCTTAACTTTTACAATAACGGACTAATACAATATTTGTCCTTTTGTGACTGACTTATTTCGCTCAGCATAATGTCCTCCAAGTTCATCCACGTTATGCGGTGTTTTGCAGATTCTACATTATTCTTTAGTGTTGCATAGTATTCCATTGTGTGAATGTACCAAAGTTTGGTTATCCATTAAACACTTATTTTTTTAACTTTTACTGTGATTTAGGTGAAAGTTTACAGAGAAAATTCATTTTCCATACAGCAACTCACATATACTGTGTCTCATTACATTTGACTACAATTTCCCGCAATGCAACAGCTCTCCTCCCACATCTTCCCCATAGTTACCACTTCCCTGTGTCCTTCCCTCCCCTGTACTCCTGCCCACCCCCAGCTGTCTTCCTGTGTATACACAGTCCTTCTATTCTCCCTTGATTGATCTCTCCAAGTAGTGTGTCTACCTCAGGCAAATGTTCAGCTCATATGCCTCTTTTGTTTGGCTGGAAGCCAGTAAGAGTGGGTTCAATTCCAGACCTGAAGGGCAGCTAGGGGCCACAGTCTCAGGGGTTTCACCAGGCTCTATCAGACCAGCAAACCTGGTCCCTTTTTTTTTTTTTATGATTCTGAGTTTTGTTCCACACTGTTCTCCCACTCCATCCAGGATCGCCTGTATAGATCCCCCTCTGAGTGGTTGACAGTGGTAGCTGGGCATCATCTAGTTCTTCTGGTCTCATGGTCGTATAGGCTGAGGATTGCATGGTGTACCAGTCCCTTGGACTAACTGTTTCCACGTGTCTTTGGTTGTCTTCATTCTTCTTTGCTCTGGACAAGGAGAGGCCTATTGCTGCATCTCAATGGCCGCTTGTAAACTTTTAAGATCCCAGTCGCTACTCACCAAAGTAGGGTGTGGAACAATGTTTTCATGTAGTACGTTATGGCAGTTGAGCTTGATGTCCCCCTGTGACCATGGTCCCAAGCCCACAGGTCCAACTACTTGCTCCCTCTGGGCACCTGGCTGTGGCCAAGAAGTGACTACAACCTTGTCCCTTGTCAGCTCTACCATGTACCCAGAAATTCTTACAGAACATACAAACACACTTGTATAAACATTAATTTTAAGATTCAAATTGATTTCTCACTTCCCTCTGTCTCCCACATCTTCTTCTATGATCCTCTTTGGAAAATTAAAGCCATACTAAGAGACAGTCTGGTTGGGTAATCTATTTCCATAGTGATACCGCCTAGGAAACCCAAGGAGGGGTCGCTGTGAGCCGGCAACTCAACAGCACACAACAACAACCAAAGACAGTCTAAACACTTAATAAAAGGGAGTGCTTGAAAATGCTTGCTTTATGTATGATTTAATTCTCCACCCCAGAGATTAAGCAAAAGGTCAGTGTTGTAAAGTTGTAGCCTTCTCCTAAAAATTTACACAAATTGTGCTTACCACTGGTGAACAGCCTTCCTCACCCTTTCAGTTTTAAGAGCTATATTATTTATACCTTGCACAACAGGGAACACAAGTGCTAATTCAGATTTGTCTTTCATTCTTCTTTAAGCTACCTTTGCCTTTGAGGTCATCAAATTTGATTTTCACCCTTCCAGTCATACAGAAGGAATTGGGCCTGAACGTACTCAGACTGACCATTCAAAACCTAAAAGCAGATCTTATGATCCACTCTTCTGAGCTTTTAAAAAATGACTTGTCAAATCTCAAGACTATTTACAGTTACCAGAGCAGTTCAGGGAGGCAAATGTAACCACAAACATACCAAACACAAGTACCACCCACTTCCTTCTCCCCCACCCATTCCCCCTACCTCCAAACAAGCATTAAGCACTTATTCAATGCTCAATAATAAAATGCTTACAGATTTGTTTTTCATGTTTCCTTCATTTTTCACCCTGTGTTTTTCTTGTGTAAAAGTGTATCTGAAAATATTTATTTCCAGTTTGGAATATAATACAAAACATAAATAACAGAAGAATCAATAGCAAAAGCTTCTTTTTATAGATATTCTTGAAGGCTTACTTGTATAAACAGCTCTGGCATTTTGGAAAATCAATTTTAAAACAGTCAAAATGCATTAAGGTACTTGCTCTTTCAGTTCTCTCCCCACCCCAACTGGCTGCCTTTTTTCATTTAAGAACACAATTAAGGACAGCATTATGTGCACATATAAGGGAAAGGACGCCCACGTTAATGTTTGTCCTACCTCACAGAACATATAGAGGGACAGCAACGTAAGTCCAAGGTTATACACCACTAAAATTCCCCGGCAGGAGAACGGCTGTCTATTCTTCATGTATTTGGGTCCCAGCCATACTATTAATAAGTATATGATAGAGCAGATAAAGGTAGGTATATAATTGTCCAGAAGAAACCATCCTTTTACTCTGGTATCTGAAAAGTAATAATAATAAATTAGTGATAAACAAGGCAGATATAAAAATAACCTCAACTTTTCAAACATTAAAATATTTTTCTAAATGTGATTTTCTAATAGTTAATCTAATATTAAGGTTCCCAAATTCAACGAAGCAAACAGAAGAGGAGGCATGGATTTTCAACACCTGTCATACAAGGTGAACCCCCTTAAAACAGGTTCTGAACAACAATGGTTTTGGTAAGAGAAATAATTAAAACCAAACCAAACAAAAACCTTCCAAAGAATTTTAAAGAAAACAAGAGGCTAACATTTCCACTAACTAGATGTATTAATCAGATTTGTTGAATTATGCATGGGGTGATGAAACCCGAGAAGTGGCAGTCTTTGAACTCTGAAGTTCTCCATCTCAGCCAAGTGTCATCAAATCTGCCCAGCAATGCGCAGACTCAGAGAAAACATGCCATTTAGCCAGATGGGTGACATTGTCACTGATTAGAAAGGCAGCATCTGCTATAAATACAATGGCTACAGTCAAAGGAACAATGATTTTTTTTTTTAAGTGTGAAGGTGAAGCAACAATGATTAGGGAATAGTGTCTGCAAGAAGCTGCCAATGTCAATCTGGCAGCCCTCTCTCTTACTGCTGCCATGGGCTCCACCAGACTGGGACATCCAACTCCCCTAGCTGTTGTCCCTCCCCTGTAAGACTCCCCCTGTAAGAGGAAGCTACCTCTGCTGCATGCTGCCCCTCTCTGCATCTTGCTGTGGTGACCTGCCAAAAGCCTGTAGCTCTTCAATCTTATCTTTTTTCCAAGACTCCCAACTTTGGAGCTCAGAGGTGAATTAAAGGATTCGCCTCCTGCATCTTTGAGAAGCAGCAGCCAGCTAGAGCAGTCTTTGCCCATTTTTCTGAGCCCCTGGCTGTACCACCTTGCTACTCTCTCTAGTACTTTGTCCCTTGCTCCCATAGGACAAGCACAGGTTAAATAAACCATACATCCACTTGGGGAACCAAGTCTTCCTTTCTTGCAGATATCCTAAACATTTCCAGTGTTTCTCTCAAGGCTTTATTCCCTTGGCTCCAGAAGGTGATGCTCCCCACCCCCCCACACACACTAGGTATTCTAGGGTGGTGAAGGGTGTTACTGTCAGTTCTCCTGAACTGGTGGTTCGTAGAAGTCCTTCAGGGAACTGGTTGGCCTCAGTGAACATAACAAGGGGATTCTTAAGGCCTTTGTTCTGTTCTTGGTCTAGTTGTGAAAATCAAGTTCTTATTCAGCTCCCAACACTAAACTGTTACATATTTTTGCCTGTGCATTCATATTATTACAAATGTGTATAATAAATACATACCAAAACTTCCCATTTCCTTACACTTAAATCTTTTTTTTTTTTTGCACCTTGCTTTTTTCATTTTATAACAGCTGTTCATCTTTCCATATCCACAAGTATCCATCCTCCTTCAACTCTGCCATGTATTTTCAGGGCTGCTGGTCTCAGTCTCATACTGTGAATTGTTATAGATCTAGTCAATCATGGTGATCCTAACCCCTCTCTCTGGTGACTAGTTCAAACATGGGCATGAACCACGGAAGGGATAACAGGTTATAAATGACTTTGGGGAACAGTTCTCACGTTCTTAAAACCATGCAAATGAACAGATTTCTTCCTCCTCCTATGGGTAAGCTGCCAGAGTGGCTGCAACTAACCATGGAAGATATAAGTACCTATTCTGAGGACAAAGATGCTGAGGATGGTAAAGAAAATGACAGGGTCCTTGTCAACAATGAAGAGCTCCTGAAATATCTTGAAGTAAAGCATCACTCTGATACAAGCACATGCACATTTATCTAACTCATTCTTTTTAGTGGTCATATACTAATTTATTAGGAGCTCTGGTAGCATAGTGCTTAAGGCACTTGACTGCTAACCAGAAGGCTGGTAGTTCAAACCCACCAGCCACTCCTCGGAAGGAAGGTTGGGCAATCTACTTCCGTAGTGATACTGTCTCAGAAACCCAAGGAGGGGTCGCTATGAGTCGGGTCTGACTTGATGGCATATAACAACAACAACAACAACACTAATTTATTAAACCTGTCCCATATTGACAGGCATCTAGATTATTTCCAATGTTGACAAACAATGCTATCATAAGAATCCTTAAACATATTTTTTCATGACCAAGGTTAGCTCTAGGATAAAATCTTAGGAGTGGAATAGAGGGGTCAAAGAGCATATTCATTTGAATTTCAATAGAAGGCACTACTGCCCTCCCAAAGAGGCTGGACCAATTTAGACTCTTCCCCTACATCCTCACTATTAGCTAAGATGGTATCAAATAGATTATTTAATTTCTGCCATACTAATAGATAAAGTGTCTTTTAAAAATTATGAGTGAAACTAAGAAAACTTCCTGTTTGTCATTTGTAGAATCTTTCTGGGACCCAAAATTTCCTCCTTTACAGATAAGACATTAACATTAAAAGAATATGCAGTCAATTTACTTTTCTTGGTAAAGTTCTTGGTATCTGGGATGAAGTTTTATCTTATCATAGAAAATAGTAGCATTTTCTAGAATTCCTTCCTGCAATATTTATAAGTAGCTATAAAAAGGGAGGAAAAAGGTAAGCAAAACAAAAAACCACCTTACCTCGGGGGCCTAGCAATGCCTTGAAATAGGTACTTAGTGATGCATCAAAATGTTCCATTTTAAAACCTATTAGGAAAAAAAAGACATTGATAAGTGTCTACTCAAAAAAAAATTTTTTATACAGTACTTCTTCATAAAAGAACAATACATTCTTTTTTTTTTTAATTTTTAAATTTTATTTTGATTTGGGTGAAGATTTACAGAGTAAATTCACTTTTCATACAGCAGTTCACATATACTTTGTTTCATGTCATTGACCAAAATTTACAATGCAACAGCTCCCCTCCCACTTCCTCCCCATAGTTACCTCTTTCCAGTGTCCATCCCTCCATACTCTCCTGCTGTCTCCCAAGAACAATACATTCTTTTCAAAGAATATGCTACAGGCAAGGCTAAGTTCCTCTAATGTTTAAAAAATAAAAATACAAACTTAAAAAACTCAGAAAAGTAACCTATTTGCTATCAAAAGCAAAGACAAAATTTTAAAAATATTAAAAGCAAAGATACAATCCCGTGAATTCACTTTATAATGAAGTGCCAGTTTCTCAATTCCATAAAAAAATCTTTCTGTGAAGCTGAAATCTCCGTGGGGAGAAGAGAAGAACTGGATGGAAAGGTGGCAGACGGGAGAAGGTTCTGTCTGGGCAACAAAGGAGACTTGACGTAAGAAGACAAAGAAAGGAAGAGCCATATCAGCTTCTTTTCACTATGAAAAGATGGTTTTTCTTTCCTTGTTACTTTTATCATTTATTTAAAATGCTTCATGTTCACAGTAAAAAAAAAAAAAAAAAAGTCAAATTCTAAAAATGGTTGGCGGGGGGGGGTAAAATCTCATCACTCCAACCACAATCCCTAAACCTCACCATCAGAAAGAACCTAATGTTAATATTTTGTAGATATACGTCCAGAGATTTTCCCTCTTTTGAACATGAAGGAGGTCATGAAAGTGATTTTACAATTATGGACTGGAACTCAATAGTGGAGGAGCATCAAGTCAATACAGAATTAAAAAATAAACAAGCTGATCATAATAGAGAATCAGAGTTCTTTGGCCTTAGTGAGAATATTGTTTCCTACAATGCTAGTTTACTTGGACCACACTGGTTAAGTACGATGTACTTGGGTGTGATGCAAAATATATTTTTATTGGGGGGGGGGAGGGTGTCACAGAAAGCTTAGAAAAATGCTGTTATACATATACGTATATTTAGTGCTTCTTTACACTTAATAAAACACCTTGGAGATAGTTTCAAATAAGCAGTTATAGATTTACCTCAATCTTCTAAGATTGTACAGTCATCCCCTACATTCCATCCTGCCCACCCCCCACCTTTTAAGATAATGCTCAAACGAATATCCATCTTTCATGTGAGAATGTATTTTCTAGTAGCACAACTACTGAATCATGTATTTTAAATATGAGTATGTACTACACCAAACTGCTCTCTGATAGGGCTGCAGCAAGGCCCGGGGTGGTACAACAACATGTTCAGCTGTTAACTGAAAGGTAGGAGGTTCAAACTAACCAAGAGGTACCTGATGGAAGGAGGATGTGGATGAGGGGGAAAAAAGGTCTGGCGACTTACTTCTGGAGGGGGAAAAAAAACCAGCTACTGAAAATCCTATGGAGCACAGACAGTTCTCCTCCGATACACATGGGGTCACCATGAGCCGGGAATCAACTTGATGGCAATCAGTTTTCAGTGGGGTTACAGCATTTACACTCCTGCTAACGGTGTACGAGAATGCCAATGTCCTCAAACCATTACTAACAATGGGTTTCATCAAATGTTAAATCTTTCCCAGTATCTGTTAAGTGAAAACTGGCATCTCATTTTTGTTTTGATTTGTATCTCTTTAATTATTAATTATTGACTAGAGTTTCCATATTTAAGCCAGGTATTTATTTTCAACTTTACCAATATCAGTTGCCACACTCACATGGATACTTACAATTAAGTCAATCTAGCCAGACTGTGGGAAAGCAATGTTGTTGTTGTTATGTGCCTTCGAGTTGGACCCGACTCACAGCGACCCCTCCCTGGGTTTC